CTGCTGCTGGAGCGAATCCGTAGGGATGCTCCCGGCAAGGATGCTCTCGGGAGCTCCTCTTCCCGGCTGGCCTCGGTAGAACACCTTGGAGTCACTCGTTTCACACGCTCATCCTTGGCCATGGATGCAGGAGCGAGGTCGCAGCTTCCAGCGAAGTTACACTCTGTGTTTTCACACTTTGCATCACCAGCGAGCAGGTAGGACGACAAGTTTCTTTCCCTTTTTGAATCCGGGCGCTCGCCGCTGCTTCCGAGTCCCGTTTGCCTTCCCCAGGCCAGGACCCAAGCCCCCGTATCCCAGCACTAAATCCTGCATGTGCCTGGCTCTGCAGGAGCTCTCTGCCCAGGTGTGCATGCTTGGGGGGGGCGTGCGGGGGCTGCCCAAGACAGGACCTCGGGCATGAAGCCTCCTGCCAGGTCACCGACAGCTCCTGCTTTTAGCACTTGCCCCAGCCCTGCGTTACGGATAAAACCCAACGGCAGTGCAAAGGCTGGCGGGCAGCTCGAGGGGGCTTCCTGGGGCGAACAGAGCCCTTTTCTCACTAAGCACTGCATGGATTTGCAACACAGCTATTGCAACACACAGAGCCCTGGCTGGGTGTAGCCGGAGCGGGGAGCACTGCAGCCCCCCCCACCCCCAGCAGCTCGATCATGGGGGCTCAGCAGCATCGCTTGGCCCCGGGGTCCCAGCCCCTGCACGCTCCGGGGACTGAGGTTTCAGCCTCTTACTTTTGCAGGGGACTAAAGAGCACGGGACTCCCGGCGTAGGTGTAAAGGCAGAGCCCAGGTTTGCTGCTGAGGACTTTCCCTGGCAGAAGCATCGCTGGTGGGGACCGTTCCCGGCAAGATGCCGGCGTGGCAGAGCACTAGTGCCATGGGCTGGGTCCTCAGCGCCACGCGGAGCAGCTGCTGAGCATTTGGTCCAGCTCCTTTGGTGCCCACTGAAACTTTGAACAGACCATCGCCAGCGTTATGGCAAGGCAAGGGGGAAAAAAAAAAAAAAAAAAAGAGAAATCAGGAGGATTTTTTAAAAGTTTATTCCTTCATAAAGAGACATGTAAAAACTGGAAATAGCAAACTGGCTGGGCCAGAGCTCTGTACAAAAACATAGTCATGCATAGTAAAAAACAGTATTATTTTTATATTAGCTTTTAAGTTAATATATGTACACGATTACTAAATAAATACATAAATACAAACTTTCTGCTTGTGTTTCATATACAAGAGTTTTTTAAGTGTTGATGAGGAGCGGGGAGAAGGGGTGGCAGCAGGAGGGACGGGTGCTCTGCAGCACAGGGAACTCCGCGCTGCAGAGAGGGGCTGGCGATGCCCCTTGCACACTCCCACCGTGCCGGGGAAGGTCCTGGTGGGCTGGGCTGTACCAGGGTGGCAGCACATGGAGCCAGCTCAAGTAACGCAGTAGTTTTTCCAGCCGAGTTGTCCCTGAGCTACGTGCGAGAGCCAGAGCAAGGGGCAAAGTGTTTGAGGAGCAACCCATCCAGCTGGAGGATGGATGGTGGGTACCCACAGCCATGCTCGGACCTCAGTGTATTCATCTCTCCATGCTGGCTGGACACAGACAAGGACAGCAAAGCCCCCGCCATGGCCAAGGGACCGGGAACTAAACGACTTGGCCAAAGGGATGGAGAAGGAGGTTGCTGGCACACCAGTAGTTTGCTGCCCACGTTCCCCAGCCTGCTCCGAGGAGGAGCTCACTTGCTCCCTGCACTGACCCTTTTAGGCAACCCCAGTGATCACAGAGCAAGTAAATCATTCCCACTCTCCTCTCAACATCCAGTTTCAAACTGATTCCTAACAGCAAGCAGAACCACTATCAGCTAAAATACAATTCAGTCAACAGCTTTGAGAAAGTAACCCAAGAACCCAGTTAATGCTTGCCCACCAAGCATACAGTATCAAGCTTTCTGGCCACCTTAGAGATGTTCTACAAGCAGAAGCCATTGCATGACGCCAGGAACCCCTCCAAAAAAGGACAATCCAGTTAAAAACCACAGGGATGCCTACAACCCACAGAGGCCCTTCTCTGCACTGATCCTGATGATGTCCGTATAGTACCAGTGCTTCCAAGTGAGACAGTCCCAGAGGCAGCTTGCAGTAGTTTTAGGCTCTTTGCATTGACCTGGTGAATCCAAGGCACCAGCTTGGGTTTCATAAGGAAGCACCAACATCGAGCCCGTAGCTTCAGCAGAGAGGACCACAAAGTTTGTACTTCACAAGAGGATCAACTCCTCCGGGCTCAGCTGAACTGTACAATGGCTTCAAGAAGAGAAGAGCCACAGGAGAGCTATAAAAAGATAAAACTCAACTGTTCTTAGAGGTATTCATGGCTTTAATTTGAAGGAAGGAGATTCAGGGCCAGCCCCGCTCCTCAGCTCGCTTCATATTTGAAATATCCCCGCTGGACCAGCTTGTAGGCGATGTCCTCTGCAATCCCTCCGAGATTGATCTCATGCAGGGTCCCCAGCAGTGTGTTCACAGAGGCGTTCAACCCTTGTCTGTTCTGCCACATACTGAGCATCTGGTACAAGGGCTCCTGCCAATGCTTGTCGTTCATCTCCGCGAAGACAATGTCATTCTCCAGCAGATCAAGGGCTCGGCCATATCTCTTCCAGTCCTTGTAGGGCACTTCTTGGGCAAAGATCTCAAAAGAGCGGCGCAAAACTAGAGGGGGAGGAAGGGAAAAGCTCAGAACAGGGGGAGAGCATGGACAGCTGGGTCAGAAAGGATTTTGCCCAGAAAGCTCATCCCGCAGGCTCACCACCTCCCTGTCCCCCCGGCACATCCCCTGGGCACCAGCACTTACCGGCCGAGGGGTCTTTTCCTTGTGCTGGAACCAGATTCCTGCATTTAGCACTGGGACACGAGGTTGTCGGCACCGTCATCTGGAAAGACAATGTCCTATAGCACCCACCGAACCCCAACACAAACGCTGTCCCCAAGCCCCATTAACAAGGGGGTTGGAGACCCCCTCCCTCTCTCCAGGGGCCGTTGGGGCAGAAGATCGCCGCAGCCCCCCAGGACACCCATCGTTTCCCAGCTTTGGGATGAACAGCAGGCCATGAGCAGGGGAGAGCTGCCTCATCGTCCTGGCCACGGAGAGAAGAGCTGTCTGCTCAGCATCAGCATTAAATCTGCAGAGGACTTGCAGCCAACTGCGACGAGCAGATTTTTGCAGTCCTGAACCCAGAACAAGGACAAGAGACCCCTCGCCATCTCCGTGCAGAAACTGTGGTCCAGCCCTGGAAGCCCCCCAGGCTGATCAGCTTGGTGAAGGCAGAGGAAAGCGTCAGACCTCTGCCGAGCACGATGAAGCAGAGGGTCACGCTCATGTACCTCCAACCCCGGAGCGCTGGGAGTCACCGAACTCGATTCCCTGGGGAGCAGCTGATGCTGGGACACCTGCTCGTTGTGGTTGTTGTCCTGCGTCCCCTGGTCTGCCCTCTGGTACCTCATCAGCTGCCGCAGCAAGAGAAGCACAAACCAGCCGAGTCAGGTGGTCCCTCACACCGGCCCCTCAGGGATGCCATCTACCGCAGCCGCATCCACCCTGCCAGGGTTTCGAGGGCATGGCTCGCTTGCTCATCTTGAGCTTGAAGGGGTCCCGGTACAGCACAGCCCTCCTTTTAACCCGGAGTCCCCACCGAGGATGCTGGATGTGCCGGCACCTCTGCCAGGGAAGCGGTAACAGCACTGGGGAGGGGGCTGCACGCACCCCACACCCAGCAGAGAACTACCAGAGACCCCCCCCTCTGCTTGGCCCAGCTCTACCACGTCCCTGCAGGGATGAGACTCGTCCCCCTGCTCCTCCAGCCTTCCCAGGAGCTGTAGGCAAAGTGGGAGCAGAGGGGGGACCTCACCCCAGCCCCGCAAACAGAGCCACTACCCCCCACCACCATCCCAGCAACTCACCACCACGCTGCAGGACTTCCTGCTCAGGTCTCTCTCGTCTCCTGGAAGATGAAAACTGTGCTGTCATCTCTCTTCCTCCAAACAGGACCATCTTCCCACCCAGCCCACACCCTCGCAGAGTCCCCCGGCCAGGGTGAGCACTCTGGGGTCCCCTGCACCCAGTGCTCACCTCGGGAACGGCAGCAGCACACCCAGAGAAACATGAAAAGCACAGCCAGGCAGGCCATGACTCCCACCACGATGCCCGCGATCATGCCTCCTAAAGTGGGTAAGACAGGGTGTGTGGGGAGCTGCTCCTGGTCTCCTCAGCAGCAGCTCACACCTCCATCCCTCAGCCCGTCTCCCCTCCTCCAGCAGCCCCCACTTACCAGTGAGGCTGGAGAAGGTGCTGGTGGGAGGACCGCACTGGAGATCGCTGTGCGGCGTGCACGGAGCCAGCTCCACTTCACCCGCGGGACACCTGGGAAAGGGGGGAGACAGGGCAGGCTTAGCGGCTGGGGCTCCCCGCAGAGATCCCGGCGGGACCCGCCGTGTCCCCCAGCTCACCGGGTCCGGCACTTCTGGCACATCTCGCAGGGGTGGTCCGGGGAGCAGAAGGTGCCGTTCTTGCAGACGCACTGCGTGTTGCTGACGGCTCGGCAGGGACTCAGCTCCACCTGATCTGTGGACGAGAGGAGAGACAGCTCTACCCCAAGCCCCACCGCACCATGCTCCTCCACCCGCTTCCTTCGTTAACGGGGCTAACGACCCGAGCTGACCTGAAAGCCTGGGGAAGACCAAGTCACTCTCTGCTGTTGAGTTTCAGCATTACCCTTTCCTGCCCCACACCTCACTGTGCCCAAGAGAAGAGCAATTCTCACGCCAAAGCTCACCAGCAGCCTACGATGCTGCCATGAGCCCAATCCTCCTGGTCCTGGCTGGCTGGAGTTCTCGCGTCCAAGCTTTGCACAAGGGATGCTGCATTGAATGGAGACGTAGGTCTGGCACAAGCTGCCACACCAATTCCAGAGCCAGCCTGCTCCCTGCAGCCTGAGCCACTCTTTGGGGACGCTGCAGGTGACCGTGCTCTTAAATAGAGAGGTCTCTGGTCAGCTGAACCCAGCCCGTGCTATCAGCCAGCATCGCTCTTA